ATCTAAATTTTCCCAAATTCCTGTTTTCTTCCAGGAGTGTTAATGGTTTTAAGGTCTCACATTTAATTTTTTATTCCACTTTTAGTTAATTTGGGTAAGTGGCGTAAGGCAAGGTTTTAGTTTCATTCCTCTGTACACAAATATTAAATTTCCCATGCTTCATTTATAGAAGAGACTGCCATTTCTATATTAAATATTGTTGGCTCCTTTGTCAAATGTTAGTTGACCATATATGAATGGATTTGTTTTCAGGCTCTCAATTCTGCTCCATTGGTCTGTGTCTGTTTCTATGCCAGCCCCACACTGGTTTGATTACTGTAGTTTTGTTATATATATAGGAAGTGTGATGCCTCCCGCTTTGTCCTTCCTTCTCAGGACAGATTTTTTGTATTTGATTAATGGCATTGAACATCTTTTTAATGTGCTTGTCATCTGTATAACCTCTCCAGTGAAATGTCCTTTTTCGTCTTTTACTCATTTTTCAATTTCATTTTTAAGATTTGTGTTACCTTTAAATTACAGCTTCTTGGTATGCAACATAAAGGATAAAATACCTACCTTATAAGGTCAGATGAGACATCTACTGAAATGTAAGGACAAACTTAAGTCTTCTAATTCCAAATCTTTCTACTACTTTATTCTTCTTTGTCAAGATTGCTTGAGCTATTCTGGACTCTGTGCCTTTCCACATACATTTTGCAATAAGCTTGCCTATGCCTACTAAAAACATTGCTGAGATTTTTATAGGAAATGCATTAAACCTATAGAAGTGACATTAAACCTATTTTGAGTTTCCCAGTCCATGAACATGGTATGTATCTCTATTTATTTAGGTCTTCTTTGATTTCTTTCATCATCATTTTCATATACAGATATTGTATTATATATGTTTTACCAGATTGCTTATAAATGTTAGTATCTGTTATTTCTACTGTAAACTTCAAAAATAAACACAAACTATTTCAAGAAATTAGAAAAATTTTATTCATCATCACAAACTGGATTATATATTATAAATTCTGATCAAAGGAGTAATAATAAAGGTATTTTCAGTAGTACCACAAATTATTTGTACCTGAAGTAAACTGGTAAGCATACACTAAAATTTACTCATGTTTAAAATATCACTTTGTTTAGAAAATTCATATACATATTTTTCTGATTATGCAGTAGAAGGGACAAAGAGCTACATTTGATTTTTATTTAATGGGCACATGAAACACTCCTCACACTGAGTCATCAGAAGGCTACAAAATCTTGTAACTTTTTAAATATGATACATGAGACAGAATAATTGTTTTATAGAAATACAGTACTTTTAATTCTCTTAATTCTCCCTTTTAACCTCCTTTGGGAGCTGCTCACAGTATATAGCTGCTTGGCTGGCTAATGTGTTCTCACATAATCTCTGCACTGAGTTGGGATGGGAGATGGCAAGAGGGGCATTCTTGGCTGGAAGTTCTGAGAATATAGAAGCAGGGATTTCTCATTGGAAAATGTATGCTTGCCTACTTTAGCAATGGTTCCTGTACAAAAGCTATCACCACTGAACTGGTCTGTCTGACTTAGCACTATAATGAGAATTTCTCTGATGGGGAGCAACTTAAAATAGCATCATATACCCTGTTGATTCTTTCCTAGTTGAGACAGAAGCACAAACTTGGGGAAAGAAGATGGACATGAGTACTTTCAATGATCTTTTATTAATACTGATATAATCATTTATTCATCAGAATAGACAACTAAACAAAACTAAGTATTCTAAGTCCTTTCCTTCTCCAAATCACGACTTATATCTGATTTTGGCTGGGCAGAGATTTACTAACAAGGAGGTGAGGTGTTACCTGTAGGAAAAGGTGGAATACTGAAAAAACAAACAAAAACAACAACCCAACAACAACAAAAAACCACACACAAAAAAGTCCAGGGTAGAGCAGGCACCAAATCTAGGAAGGTACAGAGAATGGATTGCTTGAAACTAAAGAACTAGGTAGCATATGAGATAGTATAAGAAGATCCTAGGAGACAACAGCTTGACCAATAAAATAAAAATACAAGTTCATTTTAGAAAAAGAGGCAACTTGATAAAGTCTCTGAATTCACAAACCATACAATTTGTTCTTTAATACCTTGATGAAAAACTTTTTCCTAAAGCAAATTGAGTTATGCTACCTTCTGAGTAAGAATTGTGTCCTGACCCAGTTTCTTTTACCCCTTTTGAAGAATAATTAGAAAAGGACTTGCAAGTAGAAAATGAAAAATTTCTTGAGAACTTACTTAATCCCAGGCCTTATGCTAAGCACTTTATATTTCATTCATTCCTTACTAAAAAACCCTTACAAATGCACATCATTTCTCTGTTTCACTCATGTGAAAATTAAAGCTGAGAGGTCCTTTGCCCCAAGTCTCATGTGATGAAGCAGGGATCCAAACTCAGGTGTAAATTAATGGCTTGTTGTCTTTTTAGGCCAACATATTGCCTTCCCTTAGTGAGATGTCAGAGGAGACTTAGCCCAGGTCTTAACGACAAAGGAAAAGGAAAAAGAAATAGCTGCAGGAAATTTCTTCAGAGAAAGGCATTTGGTGGGTCAGAAACTAGAGCCATTTCAAAGGACGATTATGTGTTAGAAGGTGGGAATGTGGCACTTTCTCTGAGTAGGTTTTGAGAGGAAATTTCCCCTGGGGTTTATAACATTGAGGAGAAAAGACCTGTTCATTTCCCAGAAGGTGAAAATAGGGGGAGGCAAAGAAACATTTGCAGCCTTAAGCTTGTGATATTGGGTGGTTTCAGGCCAGCGTGGGAATTCATCCCAAGAGTGTTTCCCAGATACTGTTCTGGTCCCCGATCCATAAGCCTTTCCTGTAACACCTGCTGTCCACACCTCACTGTGCTGCCATTTGTAGCCGTGTAAGACTTGAAACAATGGTTTAGGGTCACAAAGCATAAAAGGAATGAGCACAGTCTAGTTTCAACTAGTCATATCCATAAGAGAATAGCAATAAAGAGGACGGGGAGAGGCTTCAGATACTGGCACTTAGCAGACTGGTGCTGATGCTTCCTGGGAAGCAGAGGGTGGCGACCAGACAGACACCTCTTGAGCTTCCGAGAGTAGGTACTCCTGAATGTGAAAAGCATCCTGACCAGAGGCTGATGTACCCAATGAACTATTTCTTTCACCTTTTGAAGCTAAACCATTTTTCAGTAAAGGTATAAGATAACCTAAGAATTTTGGACAAGAAACAGTCCTCCTTGACCTCTTTGTCACCTTGGGCACTCTATCTAATCAGAAAGATAGTAAATGGAGAATGGCAGAAACACCCAATTGTCATCCAGTTGGGGATGAGTTCTCTGTTGAGCATCTTGAGCTGGGTTAGACATGCTGTGCTGTGAGCAATGAAACAAGCACAGGCTGGAAGTCATGACTCTTGGGTTTGAGCCTCAGTTGTTTCTTGATCAAATCACTCATTTCTGGATTTTCAATTTAGCTACAAAATAATGGAGTTAGAATGAATTAGGCATGAGGCCCCCTCTGCTTGTAAGATTCAAGAGAAAGGTGGTTTTCACTTAAATGCTGACTTGTTTGGTGAAATGGGCATACTCCGCCACGTGGGAGTCACATTTCAGGTTTACAGCCTGGCCTGCAGTCTGGGGAAAGGTGTCACTCCCTTTACCTTCCCTAACATTTAGCTTCCCTTCCTGGAAGGGAAGATAAGTAAAAGTGTTTATTGTGCCTACACATCCCTTTATTTCTCACTTAAAAATATGTAATTAAAGTGACTCAGGCAGAGCCATCCCAGCCCATGCAGGAAAAGGAGGAGTTCAGAGTGAGAGGTATTTGGTCAAGTAGGGAAGTCTGAGCTCTTACCCCATTGATGTTCAACAGACAGAACCACTAAACCTGATAGAGACTTTGCGAACATATGATCTGGGGCGGGGAAACAGTTACCAGGTTTTCCAGTTATCCTCATTTTGGAAGAGAGAGGAAAGAAGCAGGCTTATATAACATTTAATGTTTATAGGCTGTACGTGAAAACTATGGAGTTATAATTAATTAACAAAAACACTGCAGAGAACATTTAAAACATGAGGTATTTCTATGAATATTTTAGTGTTAAAATTGGGAGTGCAAGTACTATACATCAGAAAATGTTAAATTAGCTCATGTTTTTACCCAACAGATGGTTTAGAATGAAAGAAGGAAAGTAAATTTTGTGAAAAGACAACCCTTTTAACATCGTGTCCGCTAGCATGGTCCCACTTGCACACTTTGTCAACCAGTGCTATCAGAAGTCAGTGAACATTCTCGGGATGGCTAGAGATGCAAGCATTACGCACACAGAAGCTTTCCCCTCACTTCAAACATGAAAATGGAAAATGCATGGAAATGCAGGCATCTTTGACAAGGCTAGAAACGCACTCTCCTCTCATTGGATGCTGCCTTATGCTTTAAATCAATTCCAAAGCAGGATGCTTATCAAATGAATGTGCTGGCCTATTGTCTTGATGCCACCTAAAATCTGATCACTTGAATATTAACTCAGAAACCACAACCTTAAAAGCAGCACTGATACACAAGCTTAAGTGTTGAGAGCAGGGTCACTCTTTTTATAATAGCTCCTTCCTTAACCTCGCATGGCAAGCCCATCTTCCAGTCCAAACATTATCCAACATTTGAAAGCACTCAGAGCTCTTCAAGGACTGAAGGTGTTTCCCTCAAAGGAAAACTGGGGTGCTTAGCAAAGGGAGGGGAGAAAGGCAGGCCTCTGTCTCACTCATCTCTACTCTCCCGGGTAACCGAGCACTGTACCTGGCACGCGAAGACGCCTCAATAAATGCTAACATGAGAGAATTAAATGGCCTAGGACTTAGAATTCTTTCTGAGTTTTCAAACTTGTTTTTCTTTGGCTCCCACTTATGCTTGACAAATAGATATGTATCTTTTAAAACAGTTTTCCGCCTGTTTTTCAGGAGAGGAGTTCTACCGTTTCAACCCACTGTCTCAGTATAACTGGATAACCTCATCCCACTCGGAGACTGGCCAGACGCCGTTGGGCTGCACGTTGGGGGGTGAGCGCTTCCAGTCCCACGTCTTCACGGGAATCTGCCAGGTCTTCCCATAGTTGGCTTCAATGTACTCGACGGTTTCGCAGGGCACGTGGACCTTCATGTCTACAAACTCAGTCCAGCACAGTGTAAACCTGGGAAACAGGTATCTGTGGCAAAACACAGGCAATGGGGAGAGGGCTTAGGACTCCACACCGGACATTTTGGCTGAGGAACCAGTTGTTAATAACTGTTGCTGAAGGATAGTGTTCTCTCACTAAATACCTTTGGGGATAGATGTTTTTGACTGTCCAGCATCTCTTTTCCCTTCTAATGTTAACAACATCCTCATTTCCCTCCTCTGTCCCCAATCCCAGGGACTCAGGCGGGCTGACCCTATCCCTGGGTTCCATAGATGGGTAATAGGCCCAGGGCTAACCAGTCAACTATAGCCCTCTATTCTCTGTTGTTTTCTGGAAAATGTTTCCTCTCTTCACAACCTCGGAAGACCTTTCAACAATGAGACTTGAAGTCATCATAGCACATCAAGAAATCTGAAATATCACAGGGTTAAAGAAAAAGAAAAAAAGAAAAAAAAGAAAAAGAGGAGCAGGGACAAAAGCCAGATGTCAAAGTATAATCATATGGTGGAAATGAGATCTAACTGGGACATTCTCCAGGGAAAGGTCAGTTCTCACATATTCTGCTTTTGAATATCATCTTTATTACCAGAAGAACGAACATAAAGCCATGCACGAGAACGAGAGGCTGAACAAGTTCTAAAGAAAGCAACAAGTTCCTTCCACCCAAATCATGGGTGCTGGCAGCTTCGACAGTCCCAGCTGGCTTCCGAGAAAGGACGGCCACAGTGAATCTCATAGCTGAGGAAGAAGGAAGACATAGCGTGGCCCCACCATCTGCTGGTCCTACATATGCTCGGCACACTCAGGATCATAGAGCTGCTTATTTTGTCATTAGAAACATCCCTCCATCACCAGCCTCCCCAGTCTGATGCTGGTCAGCAGAATGTCCGTCCACCTGTCCCATCCTATCAGGTTGACACACTTAAGTCGAAATGAGGCCTAAATCATGGTCTACCTAGTAAGATGGCCAAGAAACTTCTCTCTTAAATATTAGTCTCTACAGTCTCACCAAAACAGTGACAGAAAGAAAAACCATAGGTCTAGGGCAGACAGGGTGAATAAGAATACCACAAACTTTACAAAGGTAACATTTTGAACAATAAAAGATTTATGAACAAAACCAAAACATTTTAAATATATAAACAATATTAAAAGAATTCAAAGACAATTTAACTCAAACATTAATTTTGTCCTAAATAGAGAGATATCCCTAAACTTTTTGTGATTTTCTTTTCACCAAGTAATTGTCAATCTATTAAGCAAAAAGAAAATTCCAATTTCCTAGGAGAAGAGAAAAGATAAACATAAAGTATAAAACTGATTGTAAAATGGGATTGGGGAGAGGAAAGGGGAGGTGAGTGACACAGAACACCTGCCATGTTCTATGTCCAGGTTACCAGTAAACAATGACTAACACACCATGTATCTGTAATGTTGCCTTAGCTTTTAAAGCTAAGAAGTTCAGCTATTAAGTAGTTTGTACTTTACAGCTTTGATAGGATCCAAAATGTGAACAGACTTAAATTCAGACAAAGCAACCCTAAATCAGAATATATATTCAGGGGATCTTAACACACACACACACACACACACACACACACACACACACTCCTTCCATTCATTTTCTACCTCATATCATTGTTATTTTATTTTTTTAAAAGAGTAGTTTGTTGGAGTAGACCATTTCCCCCCTCACAGACATCCTTAAAATCTGTAAAACTACTTATTAGTGGTTAGATAAAGTAATTTATTAGTTTAATTGTACAACCTATACACATAATTGTTAAAGAAAACACATTTTATTATTATTAGTTAGCAAGAGTGAATTAGAGACATCAATTACAATTGAACCTGAACTTTTTTAACATAAGTTTACATTAAACTCTGAAGCTGGAGCAGCAGAGTCATTTTATTAACCATGTGTCTAAAATGGAAACCATCCCCATATGCCACGATATTTTGAATTTAATTAAAAAATCAATTTGCAGCGATTATTACAAAAATAAATATATTACTCACAATTTGGGTGTTCTTGAATATTTTCAGCTGAAAATTCCCACGAGAAATGATTTTAAAGTTGGTCAGGGCTGCCACTTAGGGAAAACATTTTTTTTTTTTTTTAAATAGATGTGCGTGGCGTGTGGGGAAGGTCCGCCGCTGCGTCTACAGACGCTTATGGCGTACAATGGGTTAAATAAGAATTTCCTGTGAAACAACACAATGGTTTATTCTCTTTACCAATTTTGTCTCTTCTTTTAACTCTTAACTTCTTTTTCTTGTGTTATTTCAATGCCTCAAACCCTCTAGCTTAATAGAAGTAGGGACAGCATGCATTCTTATATTCTTTTCTAATTTTAATAGAAAAACTTCTAAAGTTTTATCACTAAGTATGACTGTGCACTCTAAGTTTTTGGCATATTTTCTTAACCATGTTAAATGAATTCTAGATCCCTTTTATTCCAAGGGTACTAAAAATCCTTCCTTTTATTTTTAATCAGGAAATTTATCAAAGGTTTAAATATCATCTACTTAATCACATAGTTTTTTTTTCTCCCTTTAATTTTTTAATCCTTTAATGTTGAGAATTATACTAATACACACATAGTATAAAATTGTATTCGTGTTTCATTTAGGATATTTTTATCTGTGCTCACTTAACTGTAGTATTCCTTTTAAAAAAACATTCTTTATCTTAATTATTACTTCATTATTGTTTACTGGGGACTGGGACTCTGAAGAATAAAAATAAATATAAAAACGCTAAAATTTCAGAGAAGAATTTAGGTTTTAGGTCTGGAGTTAAATCTTGGCTCTGCCATTATGGCAAGATGACCCTGAGTGAGTTACTTCTCTCCTCTGAGATTCAGTTTCCTCATATCTACTGGGAGTGAGAACATATAACCTACAGAGATAATGTAAAGCAGACAATCTAGCAGATACTGTGGTAACAATATCTTTATTGATGCTGTTAATATTATAATTATTATTAAATCTTGAGCCAAAAACGTAATTCTGAAGGCAAAGAGTAAAGTTTTGAAAAGGGAAAATTTTTATTCCTTCCTGAGTTTCTCTCCAATCTTTTAAAAATGGTAAACATTCTATGATATTAAGCTTTTCTCAGAATTAACTTTGTTGAAAAAAAAGTAGAATATTATAAAGACCCTTCGATTAGCTCTAAAGGTTTTCCCTGCCCCCCATCTAGAAAATACTGCAGTTCTTTGAAGCAAATAGTGCTGCAAAGAATGAAAATGGCATATGGCTGGGGGAATCTTCCAAAGAAACTACTCTACACAGCCATGCCGTTCTTTTCTCTGCCTTTTAAGGTCACGGTAACATGACAGAAAATCTGGGACTCACACCATCTGTCCAGACAGCTCTACCACTGCTCATTTCTTCTGTGAAATCATCAGAACACTTCACACTTCCCAAACACTGCCACCATAAAGAGCAGTTACAGCAGAATGAACGAAATGAGTGCTTAGAAATGAACAGTTCTTTTGAGGTTTATGGGTTTCAGATCATGTCAGTGAGAAGACACGCAAGCCTTAGAAGAAAATTTATGAATAACAGGATTATCATACTGGCTCTAGAAATTATTTTTCTTAGAAAAAGGTGATATTTTCATGTGAGATCTCTAAGAATAGATTTGGCAATTTAATCTCTAAATTTCTCATAAGACTAAGAAAAGGAATAGTTTTCTTTACCACCACGACCACCACCACCACTACTAGTCCTATGTAATCCTATATAATAAAAAACATACATGTAAATTGACCGTACCTCTGCTACACTCACCAGCCAATCAGGAGTGAGTATGCAAATTAACACACATAGATGGTGGTTAATTTGCATACACAGGCACCACGCTGAGAGTGGAGAGGCTTGGGGAAGTTGGCTCCCCAAGCCGCCAGGCGAAGAGCAGAGAGGCAGAGCTGACGGCTTGGAGGACTTGGCAGAACAGGAGGTCCTGGGACTGAGACAGAGCAGGAAGGGAAAACCAAGAATGCGGGGAGCACCAGGAATTTTGGGAATAGTAGTTCTGGTGGCAGCCCCAGGACCTGAAGTGGAAGCCCAGGGCATGGGGAGAACTAGGAATGCTGGGAATCGTAGTTCTGGTGGCAGATGGAGCTCCTAGACTCTAGAGCAAAGTGAGTCTGGAGCAAGTTACTGTTGCGGGTGAGGGATGGAGGGAAAGTAAAGGTGAGAGACACAAGTAAAATCAGAGTATCTAGGAAAAATTAAAGGAAAGATATCCTAAAATGTATAGGAAATCACCAATGAAGCAAAGAAAAATAAAGAAAAGCCTCTATTATTCTGTGAAAAACAAACCAAACTGGGTTGGAATCTCAGACAATTTGCTCATATGACTGCACAGACAGACAGAAATTCCCAGATTGGAGAGGGATATCCTGAGGGATCCCAGATTGGAAAGGGTGCAGGTTGGGCTGAAGGACTCACCCCCCTGTGCATGAATCTTTGTGCACCGGGCCCCTAGTAATATTAATAGCAGCTAATAATTACTTTACATTCAGGACATGATTATTCTCTTAAAACCTTTTTGTCTATCAACTCACTTAATCTTCAAAACCATTCTATGTAGCAGTTTCTATTATTATTACCATTTCACACTCAAGGAAACTTAGGTACAGAGGAGTTAAATAACTTTCCCAAGGTAATATATCCAGCTGGTCAAATGTAGAGATTAAAAAAGCAAATGGGCTGCCACATGCCTTTAATTTCTATGCTGTACTTTCTTATAGATTTTTTTTTAAAGCCTCCAGATTATACATGAAATTAGGCATCTTTATCACATTCTAAATAAACAAACTGTGGCTAAATGTCAACCCTCCCTCCCCCTTTCACCTAGTCACGAGAGTGTCAATTATATGTTCGTTAATTTATCATCAGAACTTACTCAGCATGAATGTATTTGTCAAAAAGCAAATAAGTTTTTATCTATATATTAGAGGCCCAGTGCATGAAATTTGTGCAAGGGAGGGGGACTTCAGCCCAGCCTGCACACTCTCACAATTCAGGACTGCTGGCCCCTATCTGCCTCTGCATAAACTCCCCTAACCACTCACCTTCCTGATTGCCCCTAACCACTCACCTACTTGCCTGATCACCCCTAATCACTCTGCCTGCCTGATCACCCCTAACTGCCTCTGCCTGCCTGCCTGATCGCTCCTAACCACTCTGTCTGCCTGCCTGAAAGCCCCTAATCACTCTGCCTGCATGATCATCCCTAACTGCCTCTGCCTGCCTGCCTGATCGCTCCTAACCACTCTGTCTGCCTGCCTGATTGCCCCTAATCACCTCTGCATGCCTGCCTCATTGCCCCTAACTGCATCTGCCTTGGCCCTGCCACAGTGGCTTTGTCCAGAAGGTCCTTTGGTTGCCCGGTCTAATTAGCATATTATACTTTTATTATTATAGAAGATATAAAAGCCTGAGTAAATGTTACAATGAAATGATCAGTTACTATGATGCACACTGACCACCAGGGGGCAGATGCTCAATGCAGGAGCTGTTCCCAGTCTGCAGGCCCCACTCGCCAACGGGGCCTGCTGGCCAATCACCTGATCCCTCCCCCTGGCCTCAGGCCCTGATTGCCCCATCGGGCCTGGGCCCTCAAGCTGAAGTGGGGAATCAGGGGTGGGTGGTGGCAGAAATGGCCCCTTTCCCAGGGAGCCCTACGGTTGGCTCCCTCGTTGGGTCTGGTGGCCAACTTCTTGGGTTTCTCCATCCATCCCTCTCCACAGCCAGCAGGCCCCAATTGGCCCACTGCCCGCTCACCTTGGTGGTGGTTGGCCCCTCTCCCTGGCCATCAGCACCCAATCACCCAATCAGGGCCAGGCTCTGAGCTGGGACAGGGAACTGGGGGTGGATAGTGGTGGATGTGGGCGGCAAGGGAAGGAGGAAGTGGGGAGGCAAGGAACCTGATCAGCCCTGATCACCGGCCAGGCCTACGGATCCCACCTGTGCATGAATTTCGTGCACTAGTCCTCTATTAATATATAAAAAGTTTTAAGAATATGCTCTGAGGTCAGTGTCAACTTATAAATGCTTTATAACTTTGAGGAAAAAGGTTTGTATTATCTCAAACCTCCAGACCAACGTAAACTTCACATGAAGGCTCCTTGCCTTCAAAAAGGACCCAGCGATTCCAGGAGGGTATGCCACAGTGCGCAAAAGAAACCAGGATGAGTGTGGATTCCCTTTCTCTGTTACAGAACATTCCCCACTGTGCCCAATGGCTCCACATACTCAGTGATCGAAGTCATAAACTCAGCTTATTGGTGAGGTAAATTTATGCCACTAATTAATATCATGACAGTCATGATATAAATCAGATTAGTAATTACAGTATTAATAATATTAAATAACTAGAGGCCTATCACCAACTTATACCATACACAAAAATAAACTCAAAATGAATACAGGACTTAAACATAAGACGGGAAACCATAAAAATACTAGAGGCATCCACAGGCAGCAAAATCTCAGACATATGCCAAAAGAACTTCTTCACTGATACTGCCCCTAGGGCAATGGAAACTAAAGAGAAAATAAACAAATGGGACTACATAAAAATAAAAAGCTTTTTTACAGCAAAAGAAACCATCAACAAAACAACAAGAAAGCCCACTGTATGGGAGAACATATTTGCAAATGTTACCACTGATAAAGGTTTAATCTCCAACATCTACAGACAGCTTATACAACTAAATAAAAGGAAGATGAATGATCCAATTAAAAAATGGACAATGGACCTAAATAGTATATTTTCAAAAGAAGACAGAAGGAAGGCCAAGAGGCACATGAAAACATGCTCAAAGTCACTAATAATCCGAGAGATGCAAATCAAAACAACAATGCAGTACCATCTCACATCTGTCAGAATTGCCAACATGAATAAATCAACAAACGACAAGTGTTGGTGAGGTTGCAGAGAAAAAGGAACCCTCATGCACTGCTGGTGGGAACGCAGACTGGTGCAACCACTGTGGAGAACAGTGTGGAGTTTCCTCAAAAAACTGAAAATGGAACTCCCATTTGACCCCGTAATCCCACTCCTAGGATTATATCCCAAGAAACTAGAAACACCAATCAGAAAGGATATATGCACCCCTATGTTCATAGCAGCACAATCTACAATAGCTAGAATTTGGAAACAGCCTAGGTGCCCATCAGCAGATGATTGGATCAAAAAACGATGGTACATTTACACAATGGAATACTATGCTGCCATAAAAAAAAGGAATTCTCATCATTTGCAGCAACCTGGATGGAATTGGAGAACATCATGCTGAGTGAAATAAGCCAGTCAATGAAAGAGAATCACCACAGGACCTCACTCATTTATGGATAATAAAGAACATTATAGACTGATGAACCAAAAGATAGATATAGAGACAGTAAAGCAACAAGCAGACTGTCGAATTACAGTGGGGAGGGTAGGGAGATCTGGGGGAGATAACAGAAGGACTTGTATACATGCACATAAGTACAACCAATGGACATAAAACTCTGGGGAGGAATGGTATGTATGGGAGGGGGGGCACATGTACACAGATAATAATTTAATAATAATAAAAAAAGATAAGTAACTAGAGGCCTGATGCATGAAATTCATGTAAGAGTAGGCCTTTACAGCCCTGGCTTTGTTGTCTGGATAGCTGTTCCGCAGTCCAGCCTCATTAGCATGTTAGCTCTTTATTATTTAGGATAACAGCATTGATAACCACTATTTATTTAATAAGTATTAAGCACTATACTAAGTGCTTCCAATTGTCAAGTGTGTTGGAGAGGCAGTGGGAAGTAGTGGTTAAAAGTATGAATTCTAGAGACAGGCTGGGGTCTGATCCTTTACTTACTTGCTATATCCTTCTTAGAATATTTACCTCTTAAGGATGTTTAGCATTAGTTGTGTTAATACATGTGAAATGTTCATAATAGTGCCTGACTCACAGTAGACACATTTAATAGATGATAAGATTTATGTTCAGAAAAGCTAAAGGTCACGTTAGTTGTTGTTGAGGTTTTCCAGGTAGGCCTGACCCCAAAACCCCAGCTCTAGGTTCTCCTTCCCATTCATTCTCTCTCAGAACTGAGAACAGGCCAACTGCATTACAAAGGAGAGCACAGTTACTCTAAAGTTATTTCTGTCTTCTCTCATCAAGGACTTTTACCATGGCAGCATTAAAAATGTTTAAAATGCCAAACTAATATACTACATTCCTTCAGTTCTGAGATCCCTCCCCTCAAATTCTTCCATCTGTGACTCATGTGTCTTATGATTATAACTGGCATGTTTTCCTTTCTTAGTAGCACATAAAATAATAGTGCATCTTACAATGTGTATCATCTTACATTTGACAAAATATGGTAGCTGTTACGCCCAATGGGCATCTTTCAAGGATTAGCCCTCAGCCTCTGTTAAGCGCACAGATCGGAGCTTGCCCAGCACTCAAGGCTTCATTCAATCCCTATTTCCTCACTCCCCCTTCACTTCACAAAGATCACTTCACTGACCTTTACCCATCCGCAACCTTACAGCTCTAAAGGTCAATCGTGTTTGGGCTCAGGCTCCCGGTCTAGTTTTTGTGTTCCTTGTTTTGGTTTTATCTTTCAGATAATATTCTAATCATGACTCTCTGGACTGACAAACCCAGGCATACTTCCTCCCACAGATGTTCTGATAGGTGGTTCTCACATTGCAAACATACCTGGGCTCTAAGGGCAAGCTGAGAGAGTATTAGCTAATAATGGAGCCTTGACAGAGTCTCCCTCACCCCCAACCTCTGAATATTTCTATAGCCCCTTTTATAAGTACTTATCTGAATCATACTTAAATTTTTTTCCTGTTTTGGCCTGAGTGCCTCCATTCCACATATGGTCAGTCTCTTCATAGAAGAAAAAAATGTCAAGTTTTACATCATCTTTTCCCTGGAAAGATAGTTCCAAGCTGTCTTCTACCTAAAGGAAAGATGAAAATCTTCACAGACTGAAACAAAGGAAATATATATATATCTTTTTAATTAAAAAGATAATGTTTTATATAGAGTATGGATTTTAAGACACATGTGTTTTCAAATTGGAGCACCACTGAAATGGGGATGCATCAGTGCACAGCATCATTTCATTTCTTTCTTTAAAAGCATATAAAATAATGCTGCTTCTTACAACTGATGACAATTCAGGGTAATGACTTAACAGTAGCTAAATTATCTCTCTGCAGAATTTTCCGCTCTGTTCCTGAGCCCCTTTCTGACTAAAGAAAGAAAAGAACCACAGATAATCACTCCCTTAAATAATCAGCTATAAGGAAAGAAGCTTTTAATTACAATCAACCAATAAGTACTTGTTCTATTACAGAAATCCATATACATACCATATGTACATGAAAAACATAGATAAAAGTTAAAGGTACAAAGAATTTTGAGAGTATTTTCCTAAGAAATTTATCCTACAAATAATTATGTTCCTACTGGACTTGTGCCTCTGTCTATTACAGAATCAATAACATAATTATTTATGCAATTTTTTCTCCCAATCAGTGGACTATACCTTATTCACCTTATGTCCCAGGTGCCGACCACAGTGTCAGGCATAGAGTGAGGGTTGAGTAAATGTTTGCTAAATGACTAGAGTTCTATTGCTTCGACTTTAACCACAGGAAACATTGTATTAAATTTTCTTAATAAACTAGAATGTTTATGATAAGGAAAGTAATTTTCCAGTGACTAAACATATTTCTATTTTATTTCCTGGACAATACCCTTCTGGAAATAAGAAACTTAATAGGAAGGTGATTGCAAGGGATCATAGGCTTAGGGCATAGGAATCAAATTGTCTAAAAGGAGATTTCATCTAAGCTGCAATGACCTATTCCCAGCTGACCTGAGAAAATTGCTGTGACCTAGGGCAGATGAAATAAATAAGAAGTTCAAGCACTGTTTGAAATGAGTCTGTATTTCTAACCCTTAGCAAGCAATGAAATGTTTCATGTTGATAATGATATGAGCCAAAGTGAACATAAAACTAAGTTACTCATGAGAGACAATATAATTTGAATAGGGTAGATGGACTTCTTATATTAATTGTATATTACATACTGTATTAACTATATATTATATTGTTGCCAAATATAACGGGAATAAATTCATCTGCAAGAGTACAAGGTCTTTCTCTCCTGATCATTGTTAACAGAAAGCCAGATTTTCTCGTTTTCCTAAAAATGTAGAGGTCACAAGTCACAAGCTTCTGTGACTCACCCTGGCGAATACAGAGTGACAAAACGACACATGCAACGTTCTTAATCAATTCTGAGTTTATTCAAGTTTTACTTTTGAGACATGTTATTTACGAAGTAAAGCAGACTTTTATTACTGACCTTCCCGAATTTGTGTTTGAGTGGAAGTCCTGCATCCTGAAATGCTGAAATAATATTAGATCGATAATCTTGTATAAAAATTCCTAGGTCAACATCTTTACTATAAGGAATAATATTGCACTGCCGATACCATCCTAAAAATAAATAAAAATAAGAAAACAAAACAAAAAACTGAGTTTAGAAAAAAAATCAGTCATTATTATAATGATCTTTGTAACAGTGGATTTTATTTCATAGGAGTAGACTTATAGTGCTTCACTAAAATTATTTATTAAAAATGTTCTGGTTGATTTTGGAGAGAGAGAGATGAAAGGAGAGAAAGAGAAACATTGATTATCTACCGCCTGCACACCCACTACTGCCCTACTGGTCATTGAACCAGGTGACCTATTGGTCCATGGGACAACACTCCACCAGCTGAGTCACATTGGCCAGGGCTTACTAAAATTATTTTTAAAAATTAGATTCTGCCTGATTGGTTTGGCTCAGTGGATAGAGCTTCGGCCTGAAAACTCAAGAATCCCAGGTTCGATTCCAGTCACGGGCATGTACCTTGGTTGCAGGCACATCAGGGGTGGGGGGGGTGCTGGAAGCAGCTGATCAATGTTTCTCTCTCATCAATGTTTCTAACTCTCTATCTCTCTCCCTTCCTCCCTGTAAAAAGAATAAAGAAAATATATTAAAAAGAAAAATTAGATCCTAAGATCAAATATGTGGTTATAGGACCCACCTGTTGAAGAATCAATCTTCCTTCCCTTCCTTTCTCCCTCCCTTCTTTCTTTTTACTAGTCTGAGCAGTAAGCATCCTCACAAACTTTCATAATGTATTTAAAATTTATCTTTATTGTTGAAAGTATTGCAGATGCCCCCTTTGTGTGTTTTTTCACATTGATTCTTTCCACTCTGTACCCGCACTTCACAGGCCTTCACCACTCTATTGTCTGTGTCCATGTTTCACATTAGTCAAAGAATAATAAACTATTAAAAATGTAAGGTTCTTAAACATAATCTAATACAACTCCCTCTTTTCATAAACACACACACACACACACACACACACGGGGTAAAAAATCTCAAAATACATCATGACAAATAATTAAGAAGTATTTTTGATGACAATCAGTAAGACAATTTTGCTTCAAAAGTTAAACTTGCATATATCACATAAGTAAGTGAGATGTACTCCTTTTTGGCTTACTTTAGCTGTAAACTCCTTCTTGGGGGAAACCATGTGAATTTTTCACAAAGTTTAATAGGCTACCAAATATCCCAGTCTAGGCTTGTTGCCCAACATAATTATTAATGGGACTCCCTTTCACTCTCAAAGGTTTCTTGAATTAGAAATAAATGATACAGACATTCTATAAAAGAAGGAGCAAAATTAATTTTTGTACACGTATAGTTATAATCAAGAAAGGAACAGTTATAACTAACTACAGTTATAAAAAAAGAGGGAATAAAAACAACAAAATTTAAGATTCTAAGAAATTTGAAATTCCAAAAGAATTTAATCCAATGCACAGTGAAAAGAGGTCCAGAAATCTTTCTCAGATTCTAAGAGCAACTTGTCTAAGGACTCTAGAAGCGTCTACATTCCCTATCTCAAATAATTAGAATGTGGCAAGGCAGTGCCTTCCAATTAGTGATGCTACTGATGACCTGGAAAGGCTTATGGCATTCCTTTCAATCTTTCTCTCAGTAGCAACTTTTGGTGCAAGTAAGTTGTTTGTATGATGTGCAAGTAAAGAAAATAAATAGTTTTTGTTTAAATGCAACAATAATCGTTGGGATAGAAATAATAAAATGCTAATGTAAGGCTTACCTGAGAATCAATAATTAGTCTATAAGTTCTGATGTAAAGTTTATACACATGAATTATTTTTGGTAAACACACAGATGGCCTTCCTAACTCACTTCTGAAATTAATTTCTTTAAAGAAATCAATAAATTCTTGCTCCATGCTCTATATTTATTCTATCTATAAATATGATACTTAACCTATCACTGACATTTTGCCATCTCAAGCAGTTATTCCTAAAGGGAAAGAGGACAAAATGACACAAAGACAAATGTAAAGTAAGAATTTTACCTAGACAAGTCCCACTGCTCAGCCAGAACCGCACTCCCAATTGCTTTAATGTTTTGGCTGCAAGTTGCAACAATTCCTTTGCACTCTTCCGAAAGGCCACAGCTTCCACAGTGCTATCATCAAGGTACTGCTACAGATATAATAAATGGTCAGCTATTACTGCCATTTCTAAATTGCTAAAAACATTTCTGTGACATCCAAGTTAAATTTGAAAATTAGCCCCATATATTTTTCTATTATAAAAATGAAGTTTCAGAGTTCTCTGTTAGTCACACATTTATTTTATAAAACAAGACTACAGGAGTAGATTCTAGGAGATAAGTTAAAGGGGAAGGAACACAACCAGGATGAGGATTACACCTTTATTAACTCTCTCCTCCACATCACAATTTAGCAGGCTGGGCAAGTAGGGGGAAAAGACGGCTAATTCTGAGTGCTACCAGCATATCTGAAGCAAAATACAACCTGAGTCCAGGTGTCCACATATTTCCATATTCCCTGCTTGTTTTTCACAGACTGGAGCTCATTAATTATTATTATTATTATTATTATTATTATTATAATTTTTAATATATATTTTATTGATTTTTTACAGAGAGAAAGGGAGAGAGATAGAGACTTAGAAACATTGATGAGAGAAACACCAATCAGTTGCCTCCTGCACACTCCCCACTGGAGATGTGGCCACAACCACGGTACATGCCCTTGACCGGAATCGAACCTGGAACCCTTGAGTCAGCAGGCCGACGCTCTATCCACTGAGCCAAACCAGTTAGGGCTCATTAATTACTTTTTGATAATTAACAAAATCAAGTTCAGAAAAAAATGTATATTACCCTAGTTCTAAACTTCTTGGTGGATTGAGAAAATAATTAAAACTAGACAGAGGAAGTCAGGAGAGCACTTCCCTCCCTCACCACCAGCCAAACTATTAAAAACCAGAGCCATTAGGTGAGGCAGAGCCAGCAGGTGCACAGTGGTGGTCTGTTTAAGCATCAGAACCTGAGCCAGTGATGAGGGCTCCACATGGAGGCTGTTCAGTGGGGGGAGCCAGTGACTTAGCAGGGTGAGAAAGTGTCTATGTAAGGGCAGTCCAGCAGGGGATAGCAACTTCTGAGCAGGGAGAGGACGGCAGTCACACAGGAGAGGGGCAACAGAAATGATGGGGGGGTTCAACAAAGAAGTAAATATTTTAAGGATAATGGAGTCAGGTTTCTCACTATTTGAGAAGGGAGTCACAAGTATGAAAACAAATTAATTAGAGTGGTTTAATTAGAGTAAACAAATTAATTAGTCAGGTTTCTCACTGTTTGAGAAGGGAGTCACAAGTATGAAAACAAATTAATTATGTGTGTATTCACATGAATGTGAATACACACATAGAAGTACACACTCTACTCCTGTCATCAGGAGGACCTGTGTGCAGCAAAACCCAAATAGCAACAAGCACAACTAGCATCCTAGAGAAACGGTCGATTCCAGGATTGTGGCAGGGAAATTTATAATATGAACCTAGTACATCTTATGCCAAAAATAAGGAAGTGCTCAAAAAATGACAGAGACCTATCAAAATCATATAGAAGCATTGTGAAGGGATTCCCAGTGGCAATATGGAACAATTAGGGGACCAAAATAATGAAAATTAATGAAAGGATAGGAAGCCATGAGTTCATATTGGTATAAACAAATAAATTGAAAGTTTGATGATATTGACAATATTTACATAGTTTTAAAGTACCTTCATGCCAAATACTATTAATTATAATACAAAGGTAAAAAACAGAAATTCCACAGGGGTGAAGCCATGTGATCAACTTGAATGTCAACAACAATGGAACATATCAAAGATTTGCGCACCTGAGAGGATATAAGAGCACAGCATCACATCTGTGTGATCCCAATAAAGCTTATAACCTGAGTCAAACATGAGGGAAGACCAAAGCCCCAAATAAGAGACAATTTTTAAAACCCAAAAGTAACAAGGTCGCAAAAGTAAAAAAAGGACTGTGAAACTGTCCCAAACTGGAGGACACTAATGAGACAAGGGAATTAAACACAACGTGATGCTAAACCGAATCCTTTTGTTATAAAGGCCATTATTGGGACAACAGGAAAACTTGAATGAGGATTAAATAATAATCTATATGTTAATTTCCCAATTTTTGTATTAATACCTGTAGAGAATATTCTTGCTTTTAGGAAATGCTAAATTATTTGAAGTTATGGGGGATATGATCTTCAACTTACTCCCAAATGGTTTAGGAAAAAAATTATCTGTATTATATTTGCAACTTTTCTAAAAGTTTGAGAATGTTTCAAACTAAATCATTATTTAAAAAAAAAAAAGTTTGTAGGCTGCTATTATGAGATTTTAGATTAGTTGCTTGTTTTACACAAGGCATTTTATTGAAGACTGTTTGGCGCCATCAAGTGCTCAAAGTTATGTATGTTTGCTTCCATTTGAAAATGAACCCTCCTCATCTTTTAGTTATGGTTTTAACATAAGAAATGATGAAGAATGAAACATCTAAAAGGATAAAAAAATTTAGAAAGTTATCTATCCCATCAGGCACACTGTATCAGTAATACCAACACATTAGCAGAATCACATGTCTGTTCTGGAGCAGTGAAGGACACATAACATGGTGAAGAATGGATACAGAGTTCTCCCTGGTCATGTTACAAATACAACCTCCAGACAGCATTGTAGTCTTGCTATGTGATGGTGTTTACACATAAAAACTATGAGGCTATGATAAATAGATCAGCCCTCTGAACATCGGTCACCTATACTTTTTGCTCAAATGCTGATTTTCCCCTCTCAAAATCTCAGAAGAATGAAAATATGGAATTAACATGACACTATCCCTATGATTTTTCAATAGTTTGAAACATTTAACATTTTATACTGCCTTCCCACAAAGATCTACAAATGAGTCTGGGCAAATGCTTGCTAGAGTAGCTCTAATAAGTGTCCCTAAAAAAAAAAATCATTAATTCAAATGAGCACATTCTTCTCCAGGCATTTTGCCATGATTGTACAATCTTTTTTTTGTGTGTGTGTGCCAGGTACCATGCTAGATACTGAGGCTATGGAGGTGAGTAAAATAAGATGTCTGCCATCGAAAAGTGCACATGATCTAGTAGGGGACAAACAGACAGTCACAGTTTACTGTCATATTAGCATGCCAGAGGTAGCTACCAGAACAAACTCCCTTAGGGCAGAAAGAGTGACCGGTAAAGTTCAAGCACCAGACTGCATCTCTTCTGCTTCTTAATACTTTGTGGTGCGGATATGATGAGCAGCCCTTTAAGGGAACAAGGTTAGGAAGGCTCACTTGGGCCCTTAAGCCTAGGTCCTGGGGGTCAGCACAGCTGACCAGAAAAACATCACATTTTCTGGTGTTGGGTGCTACACCAATGATGATGTAGCTGGGACCTTTTCCCATGCTGCTCCTGTCCTTGTGTACACACAAGGGAACCCCAGAAATAAAAAGTAAGTGGAAGAAACAGGGTACCAAAACCTCACTGTGAATTTCACAGTTTTCCCATTATTTCTGTTTCATGTCATCTCTTAGAGCTGAACTTTCATGCCCTTCAAAATCATCTTTATATCCCCAGACTCAGCAGAGCTCCTGGGAAACAGGCTTTCAATAAATGTTTATTGAGTTGAAAGCTAGGGCAGCAGAATAAAGTAAAGTTCAAAGGCACTTGGTCTTTGTGTAGCATTTACTATCTTCAAAAACCCTCATAAACGCAAAAGTTTCATATTCAGTACCAACCCTCTGAGGAAAACAATATTTTCCATGAAATACTCTCTAAGATTTTTTCCCCATGGTCCGTCTTCTGCAGTGGCTTCCTCCTCGTTGGAGTGCTTTAAGAACAGAATACGCCATAAAGTTTATGGGCTGTTCTAACTGAAATCAGAGGCCAGTGCTAAACCTACCAACATCTACGCAAGTAAATGAGGTCTCCATACATATCAAACCATATTAAATAGTTTTTTAAGGTTAATGTTTAATCTACTTTAAAGAAAATAATCTTGGAGAAAATAGATGAATCAAAAAAATGTTTTCTACCCCTTTTTCCATAAGTACCTTTATTTCCATCCCCCTCCCAATAACTCTTATAAACAAACACACTTCCTTTAATTTAAAAAGTATACTACTTGGTTATCTCTAACCTGAAAGAATGCCCGAGCTTCTTTATACCTACACTCAATAAACCTAGAGTGTGGTATTTCTTCTAGAAAGTGCATTGGGTCTTTTGGAATGAGAACTTCTAGTCCATCAACAGTAACCTGTTGTAATTCTGGCCTGAAAAAACAAGTTAAGATTTATTATAAGGACTTAACACAGAGTGAGTACTGATAGCCTTCTCAAAATATACAACATAAGCAAAATAGCTAAACATCAAGCATATTTTCTTCAATTACCTCAGATATCACTTTTTAAGATCTATTCTCTTAGCAACTTTTAAATATTCAATGCAGCAGTGCTATCTATAGTCACCCTGCTGTATGGATATTACATCTCAAAACTTATTTTCCTCATAACTGAAAGTGTGTTCCTTTTGACTACTTTCACTATGTAAGTCTGAAGTTTTGATAACTAGAATCATAAGGTTTACAATCTTTTATGCCTTGCTTCTACCACTCAACAATGCAGAATTCATCTATGTTGCTGCACAGAGCACTAGTACAATTCGTTTCTCTGCTCTATAATATTATTGGTTGTATGAATATAGAATGGTTAGTTTGGGGGCATTAATAAGAATTTGTTATGAACATCCTATATAAAAAAAAGCCTAATATGCTAAGTGTCCAGTTGACCAGTCATCTGTTTAACCAATCAAAGCATAATTTGCTAATGATATGCTAATGCAGCTCAACTGCTCGCTATGATGTGCACTGACCACTAGGGGGCAGATTCTCAATGCAGGAGCTGCCTCCTGGTAGTCAGTGCACTCTCACAGAAGGAATGCTGCTCAACCAGAGGCCAGGCTCACGACTGGCAAGCACAGTGACGGTGACAGGAGCCTCTCCTGCCTCTGTGGCAGCACTAAGGAGTCTGACTGACAGCTTAGGCTCATTGGGATCAGGCCTAAGCCATCAGTTGGACATTCCTCGAGGGTTCCCAGATTGCAAAAGGACACAGGCCGGGCTGAGGGAGCCCCCTAAGTGCACGAATTTCGTGCACTAAGCCCCTAGTATTTATATATATTTCTTGGTGCATTTGTGCATGAGTTTCTTCCTGTTGAATATTAACATTTCAAAACTGAGTTATATGAACTACATATTAGATGCAATTACTAAATGTCAAAAAAAAAAAAAAAAAAAAAGTAAGAATTCATGACTGGACGATATAGGTTTCACATTTCCCCTGCAGACCCTGAGTTTACCTGTCGAAAGCTCCTGGATAACGACCAAACTGTAACTTTCGAAAAGGAACAAACTTCTTGTCCATGTGACCTTTGAGGCGCAGATGGCCATGCCAGAGGTAGTTGCCACTCCTCTCGTGAAAGACCACCACGTGAATGGCATGTGTGGCCAGTTTACAGATGTAGTGCAGGGGGATTTCAGTTCCAGAAAGTGAGTCTATCCCATCCAGCCGGGGATCTTTGCTCTCAATCTTCAGGCACTGAAATCCCATGTTTTCAGCTATCCGAAACCAGCCTTCCTAAAACCAAAGAAACATCAAGCATGAATATTTAAAACCAAATACTAGCAGCAAAACTAAAACGATTTGTACTGAATTAGGCCATACATATTTTTGTGCTAATCTGTTCTTTGCCAGAAGATTTGAAAATGAGGGTGGAGAAGGGAAGGAGATAGTAGGATAAAAAAATAAAAAAAAATAGAGAAACTACGTAGCTTGGAAGACATGTTCAAAGACTCTCTTTATGAAAATAAATATAATTTTTTTCCTTGAAATGAGAATGCTCGGTTTAGTGGTCTCTGATTAGTATCTATAAAATAAATGTTAGGATAGCACTAAACTAGTAATTCTCAATTTAACTTCTAATAACCTTTATCTTTAAACATGCTTGAGAAAAGTTTCTTCATCCTATAGTTTATATCCTAACACCTTACACTGCTTCTATAAAAGAAGCCCATTATAATGCAAATCAGTAGAAAACAGACCAAGACATAATATAAAACTAAGTGCATTTTCCAACATCATTAGTTACTAGAGACTCGATGCACGGATTTGTGCACCAGTGGGGTCCCTCAGCCTGGACTGTGCCCTCTCAAAACCCAGGACCCCTGGGGGGATGTCAGAGAGCTGGTTTTGGCCCAATCCCCACAGGCCAGGCTGGGGGACCCCCGGGTGCACAAATCCATGCACTGGGCCTCTAGCATGCATACAAGATCTTTGGTTAATCTCTTCCTGCCATTCATCAATCTGTCCCATGCCTGTGTGTTGAGTGTCTGGCCCCTGGTGGTCAGTATACATCATTGCTACCGGTTGAATGGTTGCTTAGGCTTTTATATATATAGACTAGAGGCCTGGTGTCTGTGCCCCAATGGGGACCCTTGGCTTGGCCTGCAGGGATAGAGCCACAACTGGTTCTCCTACATCCCCTGAAGGGTCCTGGATTGCAAGAGGATGCAGGCCAGGCCAAGGTACACCACTGGTGCACAATCAGGGCCAGGGAAGGACTATAGGAGGGCTCCAGGATGTGTCCAGCCCATCTCACTAAGTCCTGATCAGGGCCAAACAGAGCCGGCCAGCTAAGGAGGGACCATGGGAAGTTGGCTGGCTAGGAAGGGACTGCGGGAGGGCTCCAGGGTGTGTCTGGCCCATCTTGCCCAATTCTGATTGGGCCAATCGGGGCCATCTCACTCAGTCCTGATCAGGCCCAAGAAGGGACCGTGGGAGGGCTACAGGGCATGACTGGCCTGTCTCACTTAGGCCTGATCAGCCGGACCTCAACAGCAAACTAATCTACTGGTCAGAGTGTCTGCCCCTGGTAGTCAGTGTGCGTCATAGTGACTGGTTGAATGGTTGGACACTTAGCATATTAGGTTTTTATTATATAAGATAACATAAATCTCATAAGACAAGACTAATATAGATGGTAGATTTTTAGTCCTAATCTCAACAACCAGTGCTATAGATCATTAAACAGTGTTAATGATGAAGAACACCTTACATTTGAATAGAATTTACAATATTCAAGGGACTTTATTTATTTATTTTTAAAATATATTTTATTAATTTTGTACAGAGAGGAAGGGAGAGAGATAGAGAGTTAGAAATATCGATGAGAGAGAGTCATCGATCAGCTGCCTCTTGCACACCCCCTACTGGGGATGTGCCGGCAACCAAGGTACATGCCCTTGACCGGAATCGAACCCGGGACCCTTCAGTCCCCAAGCCGATGCTCTATCCATTGAGCCAAACCGGTTTCGGCTCAAGGGACTTTTATAAACATTATTGCATTTATTTATGATATCTATCCTCTGAAAAAATTTTTACTTCTAAAGATGGACAGTATCACCATCCCTTCCTGAACACCTTGAACATGAACCTAGTGCCTGGGAGGTAGGACAGCTCTCCTGTGAAGGTGAGAGAAATGAAGAATGAACTTAGTGATGCTAGGCCTGATGCCAGTGGCCACCAACAGCCACCAACCTTTATACAAGGAAAATAAATTCCCTATTCACTTAAGCTATTATTTCTTATTTTTATTTATTTATTTTTAAAAATATATCTTATTGATTTTTTACAGAGAGGAAGGGAGAGAGATAGAGAGCTAGAAACGTCAATGAGAGAGAAACATCGGCCAGCTGCCTCTTGCACACCCCCTACCGGGGATGTGCCCACAACCAATGTACATGCCCTTGACTGGAATTGAACCTGGGACCCTTCAGTCCGTAGACCGACGCTCTACAGCTGAGCCAAACCGGCCTCGGCTATTTTTATATTTTTTAATTTCAATTACAGTTGATATTCAGTATTACATTAGTTTCAGGTGGCCAGCATAGCGGTTAGACATTTATGTAACTTACAAAGTGATCCCCTGTTAAGTCTATATCCCCCCGACACCACACATTGCTATTAAAATATTATTGACTATATTTCTATGCTTAAACTGTCATTTTCTTGTTACTTACAGCTGAAAGTATTCCTAATACAGTTTATAAAAACTTTAAATTTTGTTAAATGTTTTACATTTTAAATTGGTATTATCATACTATTTTGAAAAGATATTCCATTATCTGAAAGCAAATCATCTTACCTCATTCTTCCACAGGTGATACTGTAGAGCAAAGGCAGTAAAGTCTCTTGGAACACAGAAAAAGTTGCATTCTGAAGTGGAGCCATGAGAAGTATTTTTTAATTGTTCCAAGTTTTTATTAATCAATTCCAGAATCAAAGGATCAATAAGGAACACGGGTACATTTTGGCTCGATGTTAGCATAATAAACTTTTTAACTGCACGCTGTTTGAGAGGAAAAGAATCCCCTTAATTTTACTAACCCAGTTCAATAATCTATCTTATTAAACTGTATTAATTGATTTTATAAGTATATACAAATTGTTTAGTCAGTAGACACCATCCTTACTCTTATATTAAAATAATAATAATACACAGTTTCTACAGTTTATTAAAGAAGATGAACAGGTATTTATAAAGTAAAATAAAATATACACAATATTTTATAAGGTATAGAATAGTAAGCTACTAATTAATTGTACAATAAAAGGATAAGAAAATTTTTAATAGAGAAAGTGGTATCAGAGATGAAACTTCAATCTTACACATTTTTCTCTTGGTATTATTAGCTAAATCTTTTCAAGCAAAAGTGGAAGATAACAGATCTGACAACTTTTAAAAATCAGTCATGTCAACCTTTTAAAAACCAAAAATAAATTGTAGGTGCATACTGCTTAATAATCTTTCTAAACAAAGACCTCAATTAAAATATATTGCCAGCTTGACCATCCCCAGATACAATTCAACTCTAATTATTCTACAATATTGTCAGACATTTTTGTGCTGGGCAGTAAGCAGAGTCCTCAACTGAAAAAATAAATTTTTAAATTAGAACAGAAACAGACTAAATCACAGAGTACTACCTCAGAGGAGCAAACAGTAGCAAATAGTAACAAGAGTAAATAATACCTACTAGTAGCAAAAATAAAAAGAATAAAGGGTGTACATTATTGCTTACAAGCTTACTTCAATGAAAGCAATTATGATCTCAAAGAAATGTATGCCCTTCAAAAAAGAAAGAAAATTATAGACTGCTAGCCTTCATGAACATAGATTCAAAAAATACTTAACAAGATATTGAAAATCAATTCCAGTTAAGTTTTTTTAAAAAGACCAAAAAAAAAAAAAAAAGTAAATATTATGACCAAGTAGAATTTATCCCAGGGAAAAAAGCAGCATTTGAAAATCAATCAATGAAACTCATCAACAGAATAAAGGAAGAAAAATCTCTAAGAATTTCAATACAGAAAAAGTATTTGACAAAATTCAATACCTATTAACAATTAAGAACTCTCAGCAAACCAGGAATAGAACACTTCCTTAATTTGATAAAAGTTATGAACCAAAAATCTATTATTGAGTTGTAGAAGTTCTTTATTTATCATTGATACTAGTTTTTTGTCTGAATGTTTTGCAAATATTTTCTAGTTTTTGGCACATCTATTCATTTTCTTAATGCTGTCTTTTGATAAGAAGTTTTAAATGCTGATAGTCTGATTTTTAAAAAATTTTGTGTGTGCTATACATTAGGAGAATAAAAGAGAAAAATGGTTTTGAAAGAAAGATGAAAAGATGACAAACACTAGTACAAATAAAGTGCTTAATAAGTGTTTGTTGAATGAATCTCTCTCAGCTTGGTGTTAAATACAAACACGATGAATACATATATGGCTCATTATGATTATTCATATAAATGTAGATTAGAGCAGGCTCAAAGAGAGATTCACCTTCAAAATCTGTCTTCCAAGTCGCTATCAATGAAATCATCAATGCTCCTTGAAAACAGATGTCTAATTGACTCTAAACCGAATTCTAAATCAACATTACTATTATCATCTGGCCTTCAGTATTCATTTTGTTTACAAGAAAGAAAAATGTCTTGTTGAAAACAGGACACTAGGATAGCCTGCCTATTCATCTGCCAGTGTATACAATTTTATCAGAACCCAAAGGGCTTGGTGGGACTTATTCTTAGTGAAAGCTTAGGTCCTAATAATCATCATTTTCTCTTCTAAATGCTCTTAAGATATCTGTTTAATAATTCATTCTAGAATTTTATCAGAGCTCAGTATTATACTTATTGATTAGATTTCACCTTTCATTCCTTCTAAAATATTAGAATAAAATTATTTCAGTCTTCTTTCCCTGTGATTTTGCAACTGTTATAAAGAGTGATTTTTAAATGTGCTGTGAGCTACTCTTTAGGTTTTTGTTCATGTTCCTTGAAGTAAACCCTTTAAAAAAAAAATCCATTATTTTCTTCCACCTTAAGAATCATTCCCTGAATGAAAAAGATGGGGCCGCCCTACTTTTTCTGTTATGTTAAGCTTTAAATGATCTGCAAATCCCATTAAAAAACCAGTGAATCTGCACTCCTGCTGACTGCTTTAAACACCAAAGGTTTTGGAAATGTTGATGGTTAATCTGGACAGAGTAAAAGCGTCTATCTCACGGATGGTATTTCAGCTTTAAAACATTTTCTGAACATGCTCTTTCATTTTACATATGAGGACTCTTAATAAATGGAAAAACTGTAAAGTATATATTATCATAAGTATCATCATATTTTAGAATGTTAAAATTTATGATAGAGAACCCCCATTATTTTCAGATGGATGTATTTCCCAGATGTTAAATACAGAATTTCAAATTTCAACAAATTATTTCACTCACAGGACAATAAATCTGGTCCATGTATTATACAGGTGTTTTTCTTAAGGGTGGGATGAGGTAGAGAAGGTTCATTTGGAGAAGCACTATAGTTCAGTAAATGAGAGTTTGGGAGGCAAACAGAATGTGGACTCAGTCACTTATTACCCTGTTTCTCCGAAAACAAGACAGTGTCTTATATTAATTTTTTCTCCCAAAGATGCGCTAGATCTTATTTTCAGGGGATGTCTTATTTTTCCATGCGCTAGGTCTTATTTTCGGAGGATGTCTTATTTTCGGGGAAACACGGTAACAACCTAACCTGACTCTAAGTGAACTAAGGATAACAATGTACTGACTTGGTAGGGTTTCCATGAGGACTAAATGAGATACTGCATATAAAGCACTTGGCATAGGGCCTGTCCCTTCCCCCTGACAACCTACCCCCATTCCTCACCAAGGTAGCTATTATCACTGTCATCATTCAACAAATACTAATTGAATATATAAACAAATGAACTCCTCACCAAGGTAGCTATTATTACTGTCATCATTCAACAAATACTAATTGAATATATAAACAAATAAACTAAAATGAACATTGTAGTTGAGGAATTTCTTGCTTATTGTTCATACCCACTGTATGCTATCAAATCCAATTCGGCTTCCTTTGGATTTTGATAAACCAGCTCCATTCTAGGAAGATAACAAAAGAACATTTTAGTAAATTCTGTAACCAGCAAGCAACATGACATTTAGGGGAGGCATGAGATTCAAACTACATAATCTATAAGAAAAAAAAGCGTAATATGCTAATTAGACCGGAGGACCTTCCAGATGAAGCTGGGGCCGCAAGGGAAGCTCCAGAAGCTCAGGTCCCGAGTGCCTGCTGGCGGCTGGAGGGAAGGCTGGGTCCTGGGTGCCACAGAGAAGCTGTGGCCAGCAGTCAGGAAAAGGAAGGCCTACTCTTGCATGAATTTTGTGCATCGGGCCTCTACTTATTAATAAGCATTCAGCAAATACCTATTTTCATAGAGTTATGAGCTAAGAATTCTACAGTTATACATCTATCTAAGATAGAAAACAATGACAGATTGCAATAGGCTAATTAAATTGTTAAACAATATACATGGCCAACATCTCCAAAGTAATTAATTTCCATCAATAAATAGCAAACTTTTTGCTATTCTAAATCTCTTTTGGGGAATTAGGGTTTTTCCATTTAGCTCCATATCCCTAATTCAGCTTATCTCCACACAATGAGTTAGTGTTAGGATATCTTGGCAAAATGGTAAGGAAGTATAATAATATTTATTGAGCAGCTCCTAAGAGTACTGTGTTTGACATTTCCATACATGAATTATATATTCTCATCTATCCCATCAGCACCTCATGTAAATCACTAGAATAACCCTCTAACTGCTCTGTGTTTCGGGTCCTGCTCCTACAATCTATTTTCAACAGAGATGTTCTATCAAACTTCTTTACCATTGAATTCTTTTCCATGAGAGGCAATCTGTTTAGAAGAATAAGAATTTTAATATAACTACATCAGAAAACTCCAATAGATTAAACATCACTGCAGCCTGGCACCTTTGACTTTTAGTGTGTTGTTAGAATAACATTTAATTGCAATTTTGAGTTGCTTGCTATACCCACAATAATGAAAATTGCAGTAAGAAATATTTCTGCAAAGATTTGAAAAACTGTGATTAAATTATGTGCTGCACAAGGGAAGTATTTAGGAAACCATACAGCTAGAATGAAGCCTAATGATGAGAAAAGAAGAAAAAATTACCTTTGCTGATAAATAGTGCTTGTAGTAGTACAACTGAAACAACAGAAATGCAGAACTTGTCAAAGTTAAAAGCGCCAAAATCACGTTCTTATTGATTCTATTCATCAGTCTTCGATGCTCATTTGGTTGTCTTTGGAAAGTGGTTTCATCTTTTTGGATGAGAAGATAATCTTGTTTTTCATGAACAAAAAGATATTTCTAAAGAGGAGATAAAAATCTGTTTTTAATTTTTCACCTCTAATAACCAACAACTGAAGGAAAAGTTATCTAAAGCTCTTTAACTTGATATTTTCCTATCCTGAAGAAATAATCAGTTCTGAGATAAAACATGAAAGGACAAAAATGTTTATCATGACATTCTTCACAACTACAAATAACAAAAACCATAAATAAGATATGTATAAAAACTGACCAACAGAGATTAAGGGCTTCTCCCCCAGAGTTTCTGATTCAGAAACCTCTGAATTTACATTTCTGACAAGTTCTAGATGCTACTGCTGCTACTGACCATGCTAACAACTACTTCCATAGGTAGAAGAAATCAAGGAAGTTTTGGTCAAGGAACATAATCTGTATAAGAGTTCTTAGTTGTTTTTTGTGACCTAGGTAGGATGTGATGTTTTTACAAATATCCCATGGATGTTTTCAGTTTTTGCAAGTGTAAAGGCTATGAGAAAAATTTTTGTTCTTTCATCTTTAGACCCATCTGATTATTTCTTTAGGATAAGAAATTTAATATCCTTCTACTTCTTACCTCTTCTCCACTGTTCTACTAGGGGCCCGGTGCACGAAATTCGTGCTCAGGGGTGGGTTTCTCAGCCTGACCTGCACCCTCTCCAATCTGGGAGTTTCTGTCTGTCTTTACAATCATATAAGCAAATAGTCTGAGACCCCAACCCAGTTTGGTTTGGTGCTCACAGAATAATAGAGGTCTTTTTTGTTTTATTTGCTCCATTGGTGTAGATTTCCTAGAAGTTGCAGGATATCTTCCCTTTAATTTCTCCTCGACACTCTGACTTTACTTATGTATCTCACCTTTGCTTTCCCTCCATCCCCCACCCACAACAGTAACTTGCTCCAGGCTCACTTTGCTCTAGTGTCTAGGAGATCCTGCAATGCGCCTGCCACCAGAACTACGATTCCCAGCATTCCTGGTCCTCCCCATACTCTTAGTTTCCACTTCTGGTCCAGGGACTGCAGAAACTAAAAGGTCTTGGAACTCTAGCTGCCCCCAGGATGGGCTAACAGGACTGGACACTCCAGTGGCATCCCTGGGACCCCAGCTGTTTTGGCGTCTGCACTTGCATGCTGGCTACAGGCCATCTTTGTTGGGTTAATTTGCATACTCACTCCTGATTGGCTATGGGCATCACTGAGGGACTGCCAATTTACATACTTGTCTGTTATTTGTATAGATAATTACAATCATCATTATTTTGGCCTTATTGTTAGTTACTATGTTCCCTGCCATTCCTTTTTGCTATATAATCTCTGTTCATTTATGGATGGCTGATATTCAACTTCTCACAGTTCAGAAAGAACTGTATTATTTACCCTGAGTTCTTGCATTGTTTAAAAACAATTGTCAATTGACTCTTTTGAAGTTATACTACCTTTCCCCTGATGACTTATAAATTTCATACCATTCTCGTTATGCTAAATATTCCCGTTTTTAATATCTGATCCTTCCTCCAGCATTCCTGTATATGTAAGTTAATCATTTTAATAGGATGAGCAAAGAATGCATTCCTTATATTTGAAATTCAATTTTCAAAAAACTAATATGTAATGATGTTGATTTTTTCCTCTATGTATGCTCTATAGTCTGTAGAATTAAGATTTGTTTATGTAAAGTTTTCTTATGTTTGAGTATTTTCCTGTTCCAATGTTTAATTCTCTGTTTCCAGAACTACAAGAAAGCACTTGTTTTATCTCCGTTCATTCCCATTTCACTTTGTTCAGCTTTCAAAAGATTGTTATCATGTCCTTTACTAAGTTCTTTTTGTTTCCAATGTGGACTTTTATTTTTGATTTTCTTTCCTTTTTGCTATTTCCATTTCTTTTGTATATGTTTTTATTGATTTTTAGAGAGGGGAAAGATACAAATATTGGTGAGAAAGAAGTCTCAATATCGATCAGCTGCTTCCTGCACGCCTCCTACTAAAGATGGAGCCACCAACTCTGGCATGTGCCCTGAGAATCCTGGTGCAGGGGTCAATGCTCAATCACTGAACCATGCTGGCCGGGCTTTCATTACCTTCCTTGAGCTCTACCAGATTACAATTACCATATACTGTTTTCTTACTATTTCTTCCTAGCTCTTGGGCCAATTAATTTTGTTTCTTATTTTTAAAAAGCAGTTGTTTCATTAAATTTGTTAGGCCAATACAGTTTTTTCCTCGGGCCTTTGTTACTTATCTTTCTGTTTCTTTTCCCCTTTCTTGTTACAATATTTTTGTATAGACACTTTGGCCATTTCTTTAATTATTATCTATCTTTGAGTGATGTGAGCTCCTTCCTGATCAGTTCTTTGCAAGGTTGTGGAAGAAACAAGCTGTGTTCTGATCCAGAGGATAGTCTCTCTGGAACACAAGAAAGCTCTTTACGACAGTGTTTTGTGCATGTTTATGTGTGAGAGACAGAGAGTACATGTGTGAGGATAACTACTGAAAAGGCGTTTAGCCACAATTTCTTGCCTCACAAGGAGAGCACTACCTTCAAAGACAGTGTTCTGTTTGCTTTCTCTTTTGCTCTTCCTTTCTTGCTGGTTCACCTTGTCAAACAATACAAGGAAACTCCCACTGCCTTCCTATGCATCCTGACCCCACTGCAAACAGATCTCTCTCCTCGATCTGCCAGCTCTATCTGAGACCTCTTTCTACCAACATCCTCTTTTAATTTCTTCCTGTTTACATCTGACAACCATTTATCAAATATTTTGATTTGGGGTGAGAGGATTCCTAGGTTTTCATTGAAGCTGTGATCTTCGTCTTTATTTGCCTTGCTTTTTCAAAGTAATTTCAGATAGCAGAGGGCACAAATGACTTGACTTTGCCATCTTAAGTCAGAAGTATTGGTTTGGGGTCTTAAAACAAATCAAATGAGCTTCCAGAGCTGAAGCCTATATAAAGCAAATACTCTAAGAAATTATATTAGGCCAATTAACCACTAAAGAGAAATTATGTGCCACTAGATCCTCAGATAATTCACCTGTGGGGCAAAAGTAGGTTTACCACTGTGGGTACACAAAACTCAGAGTTTATTCTTGTATTATTAGTTTTAATTACTGTATTATTTTCTACATGAACAACTGTAAATTCACTTTTGCCCTGTATATTAAGCAAAGATAACAGAATATACCATGATCATTTTCTATCTCCTAAAACTTGGAAAACTAGCAACATAAAATAACATTGATGGTATTAAATTTTGTTGAAAATCTGCTCAAATAAAATAATAAACTCTGATAAAGACAGCTCGCAGGATAATAACTGTCATTTTCAAGATTTCAGCTCAGCTTCCTGTATGTGTATTAAATCGTGCATCAATGTATACCAATTCCTAATGAAATTTAAAGTGGCATTCAGATTGTGCCAAAGCTCAGCCTCTTCTTCATCTGAATTAATAACTGGGAAAGGAAATATAAAAGGCCCATATAAACCACCACACAAACATAAAGTTCAAATTAATATCTTGTTCTCTCTTTGGACAATCTCTAATCTAAATTAATTCTTACATGAAATAAGCCTCCAAAACACATCATCACTTAACTGCATTTTTATTATCAACATGATATCCAATTAACTATAGTTCATTATTTATTTTCTACAAATGCCAAGGCAATTAATTCAATTGCAAAAAAAGGAATATTTGCCTGTCAAAATATTCCGTTTTGCTAGCACTATCTCTACATTAAGAATGGAGTTACTACTTTAAAACAAATAATGTGATACTTGAAAAAATAAGGTACTCAAAAAATTTTCACTGGTTCTCTACTACTTACAAACAAAATTTGAATTCCATACAGTGGCATCCAAGGGTACTCACAACCTGACTGAACACAGGCAAATTTTCCCCTCTTCACACTCTCCGTGGTTTTGCCCAGGTATTTCTAGAATACATCCCACACGTTCCTGCCTCCTTGTTTTTTATTCCCTCTTGTCTAAATACTCCCATCCATTTCCATAAATCCAGTTCTACACCTCTTTTCTGAGCTCCTTTCAAATGATCCTTCTTTTGGGACATTTTCCATGCTCTTCCCAATCAGAAGTGACCTCTTCTAGCTGTAAACTCCTAGTTTTACCTTGGAGGGAATAAATATTTACTCTCTATCGTAATAGGCAAAGATGCCAAAGAAATATTAAGCACTACAGATAAAACCATCAATATCAAACAGTTCCTGTCTTCTCAGAGTTTAGAGGTGAGTGTAAGAGTTTTCAAAGGAAGAATGGCTATGAGTGTAAGTAGCCCAAGTGTCTACAAGTTCTAATGCAAATATGAGATTAATATAAAGATGGTATCTTACAGCACAGAACTATTCTTAGATGATATGGAAGCAGCCTGTAACCAGTGCATGAACTGAGAATTGGCAATGAAGAAGGAACGGACAGGCCAACGCTGTTTCCCAGCTGAACCTTGAATGGGTTACAGGTGTCAGAGCTGTCGGATCCTCTCAGTCTTCGGGCCTGCGGGAGCTACAGCCCGACTGGTCACCTCCAAACACACACACACCCTTTCTTAGCAATCTTACTGTGTGTCAGGACATGAAAAAGGTTGTAAACAATAGAAAGAACCTGATGTTATCTAGGTCCTCTTTTTTTACATCTGAGAAAACGGAGGCTCAACGAGAAATGACTTGCCTCGTGTTACTTGAGAAACTGGTGATGGTGATGACATCTACACCAGCTTCTCCAGACCCCCATCCAAAGCTTCCACAGTCACCTCCACACACACACATCCGATCTTTCCCTCAGCCCCCGACTGACTCCGCAAACAAAAGGGACATGTCCAAGCCACGGGAAACTTGATGTATCATGGCTAGCAGTATCCACCCCGTTATTAAGCCCATAAAGAGAGTGCTCCAGTAAAAACCCTCCGAATAAACT